ATACTATGTGTCCATGGATTCAATTTTGTGAAAGCGAGTCTTATTTTTCTGGGGATGTATCTTTGATTCCTCTTCAGGGGGAGATTAGGAGTAAGGAAGAGGAACGATTATGGCTGGAAGAAAAGAGGTTGTGGATTTCAGGTAAGTGAGAGGATTCAGCTGTTATAAAAAAAAGGAGAACCTTTAGATACTCTTGATCATGTGGAGACTGAGTTCGATGAAAAAATAGGTGAAAGACTAGCCCACTTGTTCAAAGAAGTATATGTGAGAAGGAGCAAGGATGCCACTGTCATGCCACCTCCTTCTAACTGTAGTACCCCTCTTGATGATACTACCATGCCATCGGATGAATCTTCTAGGATTAACTCTGAGGTACATGTTTCTTCTCCTTTAACTTCAACTTTAGATATTAATTCTAACCCTGTAACTTCTGTGGAGACTGCTTCCTTGAATCCACAAGTTGGTGATCAGGGTAAGAGGTATCCTTTTCGTGATCGTAAAGAACCTGATAGGTTAGGTTTCTCCAAATTTTCTTCTAATGTTGTCTATCCTATCTCTGATGTTGTTTCCTATCACCGTCTATCTAAGACTCACCTAGCTTTTGCCCTTCAGTTGTCTTCTGTGTTTGTTCCTAGTCATTTTCAGGATGCCCTTGGAGATCCTAAGTGGAAGGCTGCTATGGTAGAGGAAATGAAGGCTCTCTAGAAGAACTCTACTTGGGAGTTGGTCGAGTTACCTTAGGAAAAGAAGACAGTGGGATGTAAGTGGGTGTTTACAGTGAAGTATAAGTCAGATGGGACAGTTGAGAGGTACAAGGCTAGACTAGTTGCAAAGGGATACACTCAGACTTATGGGATTGATTATCAAGAGACCTTCGCTCCTGTGGCCAAGATGAACACTGTTCGAGTTATACTTTCTCTCGCAGTTAATTTGGACTGGCCATTACAACAGTTTGATGTGAAGAATGCCTGCCTTCATGGTGATTTGATAGAGGAGGTGTATATGGATCCTCCCCCGGGGTTTACACCTGAAGGAGGTAAGGTATGCAAGCTAAAGAAGGCTTTATATGGGTTGAAACAATCACTAAGAGCATGGTTTGGCAGGTTGAGCTACTCAATGAAGAAGTATGGTTTTAAGCAAGCTTTGGCAGATCACACTCTCTTCTATAAGAGGAATGGTGATGATATTACTTTGCTTATCGTTTATGTGGATGACATGATTGTTACAGGTAGCAACACCAATGAGATAGAGAAGCTTCGAAGCTATTTGGCCAAGGAATTTGAAATGAAGGACTTGGGGGTTCTGAAATACTTTCTGGGCATTGAAGTGTCTCGGTCCAAGCAGGGACTTTTTCTCTCTCAACGAAAGTATACATTAGATCTCTTGGCTGAAACTGGTAACTCTGCGTGTGTTCCTATAGACACTCCTATTGAAGTAAATCATGGCTTAGCTATCTATCCTGATCAGATTCCGACAAACAAGGAGAGATATCAGAGACTAGTGGGGAAGTTGATCTATCTGACTCACACTAAGCCTGACTTGTCGTATGCGATTAGTGTTGTGAGTCAATTCATGCACAATCCAAGTGACCGACACATGAATGCAGTGAATCGTATTTTGGCTTATCTAAAGTCCTCTCCAGGTAAAGGTGTTATGTTCTCCAGGCATGGACACCTAGACATTGTGGGTTATACAGATTCTGATTTTGCGGGAGCCAAGTTGGATAGGAAGTCTACTTCAGGGTATGTGTCATTCGTTGGAGGCAATTTGGTGACCTGGAGGAGTAAGAAACATAATATGGTATCGTTGTCTAGTGCAGAAGCTGAATACTGTGCTCTTCATCATGCAATTACGGAGCTTACATGGTTGAAGATTCTCTTAAGTGAGCTTGGGTTTGGTCCAAAGAAACCTATATTGATTTTTTGTGATAATACGGCAGCTATTGATATTGCTAATAATCCTGTGCAACACGATCGAACTAAGCATATTGAACTTGACCGAAACTACATCAAGGATAACCTGGATTCTGGTGTGATAGAGGTTCCTTACATTAAGAGTGCGAACCAGCTGGCTGATATGATGACTCATGGTGTTACTAGTGGCTCATTTCATACATCACTATCCAAGTTGGGCATGTGCGATATCTATGCACCAACTTGAGGGGGAGAGTTAGCGTGTATAGCTGAATGTACAGCTGTTATCTATTAAGAGTTATAGCTGTTATCTATTAATAGTTACAGCTGTTATCTATTAGGAGTTAGCGTGTATTAGTTGTCAAATTAATTGTATAGTTGACTTACCTTGAATAGGTCTGTGTATTCTGTATAAATACCCTTGAGATATATGAAAGATAACTTTTTCTGCCATTTATCTATTGTGTACATGGACCTTCCTCCAGGTAGTGATGAAAGTACCAATAAGGGGAAAGTATGCAGACTAAGACAAATCATTATATGGCCTGAAACAGTCTCCTAGAGCATGGTTTGGTAGATTTGCACAAGCTATGCAAAAGTATGGATATCATCCTAGTCAAGCAGATCATACGTTATTCATTCGAAACTCTCGGGGAGGTAGAATTACAGTTGTTATTGTCTATGTGGATGATATCATCATCACTGGGGATGATACCAAGGAGATTAGGAGACTAAAGGTACATTTCGCCAAGGAATTTGAAATTAAAGACTTGGGTGTCCTGTGGTATTTTCTAGGTATTGAAGTGGCTCGTTCAAAGCAGGGAATCTTTGTTTCACAGAGAAAGTATGTACTTGATCTTTTAACTTAGACAGGAATGTTAGCCCGCAAGCTTGTGGATACTCCTATTGAACAGAATCATAGATTGGGTGAACAGACTGATGATACACCAGTTGGCAGAGAGAGATATCAGAGGTTGGTTGGAAAACTAATATATTTGTCTCAAACACGACTTGATATAGCCCATGCAGTGAGTATTGTCAGTCAGTTCATGCACGAGCCACATGAAGTTCATATGCAGGCAGTAGAGAGGATACTTAAATACTTGAAATCGACAACTGGTAAGGGTCTTTTGTTTTCAAAACATGATCACTCTACTAGACCTATACAGATGCTGATTGGGCAGGTACTATTTCGGATCGAAGATCAACTACGGGATATTGCACATTTGTGTGTGGCAATCTAGTTACTTGGCGGAGTAAGAAGCAATCGGTTGTGCCCAGGTCTAGTGCCAAGGCTGAATTCAGAGTTATGGCCCACGGTGTGTGTGAATTATTCTGGTTGAAGATCCTATTGGGAGATTTGAGGATTGCTTGTCAAAGTCCCATGAAGCTATATTGTGATAATAAGGCAACCATCAACATTGCTTATAATCCCGTGCAACATGATCGGACTAAACATGTTGAGATTGACAGGCACTTTATCATAGAGAAGTTAACAGAAGGTGTGATTTGCACTCCCTATGTGAGGACCGAGGATCAACTTGCTGATATTTTGACTAAGGTAGTCTCTAGCAACGTGTTCAATTATGCTCTTGCCAAGCTGAGAATTCGGGACATCTATTCTCCAGCTTGAGGGGGAGTGTTGACATATATAGATAATTAGCTATATTGTTGACTATATTACTGTTAACATATATAGATAATTAGCTGTACATGTGCTGATTAGGTGTTGATTAGCATAGTTATAGGAGCTTATTTTTAGTCTTTAATTTCTTTCCTCCTTTGTAATTATTTGTGTGCTACTTAAATCCTCTACATGGAGAAGAATAAACACGGAGAATTATTCCTATTCGTTTATCTGTAGAAATATCTTCAAAAAGCCCATCAAAATCCAACAATTTAGGTTTGTCAAAGCACACCAAACTACAATGGAGCATGTCGTGGGTCTGTTTGGTCATTGTTTCGGAGTTGGTCACCTAAGTTTGCAAGCAATGCAAGCTTGCCGTTAGCTAGCCGTCACCGGAGTTGTTCATGGAGCTCACCGATCATGGGTCCTCTGAATTTTTCGTTGAAGCTCACATAGAGCTTTGATGCTGTAATTTATTGACCCTCAAACTCCATGACCGCTGACGAGAAGCTCTAAGCATCAACGATGCAATCGCATCGAAACCGGTGAGAGCCCAACCTTAAACTCCATGACCGTCGGCGAGAAGCTCTAGGCATCAACGATGCAGTGGCAGCCACCAAACTAGTGAAGTCTCTGGTGAACCACAAACAGACACAACTGACAAAATTTCTGGTGAGCATCATACAGACCGTTAACTTCCTTGAAGACTCAGCTGGTCGGCGAAGTTGACTACCGGAGTTTGCGATTGGTCGAATATTGTCGGCTACGGGAGGACGAGAAAGTGGAGAGAGACGAGTTATGATGGGTAAGGCCGTGTTTGGTGCTAAAATAATTACTGTAATTAGACCATGTTTGGCAGTAGTGTTAAGTGGTTATTGTGATAAGTGATGTGCTGTCGCAATACTATTGGATGTCCAGATTGCTTTTGCTACATCAGCAACAATAGGTACTTAAACGAAACGACAACGTTCCACTAAAGGGTAATTTTGTAATTTAAAAAAAAAATAGTTTTTAATTTAACATCAAATACTAAGGTCAAATTTGTCATTTCACAGCCCGGTTAATGGGACGGACACGGATATTGGGGCAATGTGAGCACTTTTTAAAGTGTAAGGGGTGGTTTAATTTAGGTTGGGGTGTTATGGCACATTTGGAATTAGTGGGGGTTTTATGATGTTTACCCTAAAATTTAAAATAATATATATTATATACACACAGACACACACACACTATATTACAGCACGAAGGTGGTACTTTATTAGCCAGCTCAACAATGGATAAGCTGAATGTTTAGTGAGCATTCTAGTGTTTTATGATTTTTACCCTAAAATTTAAAATAATATATTACACACACACACTATATTACAGCACCGAGTTGGTACTTTTTTAGCCAGCTCAACAATGGATAAGCTGAATGTTTAGTGAGCATTCTAGTGATTTATATTCCATTTATGTTGCAGGGAGGAAGACCACTTTTGATGAAGAGTGGACTATCATCCAACACAAGGAAAAGAGTTGGGATTGCGTGTTTTGTTTTTTGTTTCTTGATATTCCCTCTTCATGCTTGAAATATCCTCTTTTTGTATCTGTTTAAGTTTTGGGGAGAACAATATCTGAGGTTAACGAGGGCATCTGTAAATTTGATATGTATGGTTTTTGGTGAATGATGTCTGTATTTAGTCCATTCAGTCTCCATTATTAGTTGATAGACATGTCCGAGTGTAACATAGATATCATAGTCATGTCGTCTACTTTGCTGAAAGCATCAAGGGCATGATGAATCAATCTTTCATGATATGATCGACAATTCATCCCCACTTGGCGGTTGAAGCCGCCCTCACCATCTGTTGATAGCGGCACATTTGCATCCAAATTGAGCATTTGGTCTGGGATTTGGATTTGGATCCTCTCCGGTGGAGCAGTCATTCTTTTCTGTCAAGTTAGCGATGCAGGTTGGAATTTTTAATCGACTTTTCAAAATTTTGCCCTTGAATGGTAGGATGGACATTCGGTGCCTAGACAAACTGTATCAGTTTACAGAGTGAGTGCAAATCCTATTCGTTACGCAAGTCTGTGATTTAAATTTTACTCGTGTCATGGGATGGGATTAGTACGGGTCAAAATTTTTGTAGATTGTCTCACGAACTTGATGGAACAGGAACATAAGAGAATTCTCCATGGCAAGAGATTAAGATCGAAGTCTCCAATCAACCACGCAACACAATGGGTCCTTGTTTGAGCCTCTCGGGTCCAATCAAAACTTCGAGACACTTTTCTGTGTCTGTCGTGGGGTGGGGGGAAATCATGGATTCTTTTCCTCTACTTGCTGATAAGCCTTGCACTTTCTGGTTGGTGGCTTAAATGTAAAATATTGTTTAGAAAATATTTTTATTTTTTATTTTTTGGTATTTGGTTGTCAAAAGTTTAAGTAAAATATTTTACTAAACAAAACAAAAATAACTTTTATTTTATTCACTTAACCCGAAGGATTTGACTTTAACAAATAATAAAAATATTTTACCTGAAAAGGGGAAATATTTTCTAAAAAAGATATTTTATGTTGGAGCCATAGATTGCCGGTCTTAACATTCTAAAGACAAACATTTACAATATTATGATGCTATTTAACCACCCCAGTGAAAATCATTAATTAATTCAAACTTTTTATTTATTTATTACGAAAGTCTTTTTTTTTTTTTTTTTGGTCTTTCTTTTGTGTGTGTGTGTGTGTGTGTGTGTGTGTGTGTGTGTGTGTGTGTGTGATATTTCAACGTAATGGAAGAAATTTCATTTATTATTGTAGAATATGAAAGGGTCTGTTGACTTTTGTTGCTCTTCATGGCCCATGGTCGACAATCACAATGAAAACTTATATTCACATTCAAACTGTGTACGTATCCTACGGGCACGGATCTATTAACAAGTCCTATTTAATATATATATATATATATATATATATATATATATATATATTTTATTTATTTTTAGTAATATATCTTACTATTTTATTCATTTTGATATATAATATACTGATAAAAGTACACTATTACCTTACCCCTCAATGTCCGTCCCTCTACACCTGCATGCACATATACTCCGTACTTCCTAGTAAGTTGACATCAAACTCAATTCAAATTTCGTGGTGGTACTTGTTCATGACAATTTTCATGTGAGAAGGGTCGCAGTTTTCATCACATGACGGTGACTTCACATAGTGGGGTTCATTACTTCACTAATATAAATTAAATTCGATTCATGAAATGTAAAAAAAATTCATGTCCGAAAAAGGTACATTGTGGGACAACTTGAACACAGGCATATACCGAAACAAGTAGAAGAAGACAAACTCCGGTACATTTGGTTGCGAGTTGCGAGTGATGTCATGGTGACTTAAATTTTATTATTGTTGATATTTATTTTATATGTTTATAATTCTTAATTTATTTTAGTTCTAGGGTTATGTTTAATGCCAAACAATTCTAAGTTACAATTAAAACTTTATAGGTGAATTTGAATTATTTTAATTAGAAAAGAGGTCGAGTGGTCGAGCCCTATTACTAGAAATATTATAGGTGCGTGTTTTCTTATTTTTTTTTAAAAAAATAAAAAATGGTATTATTTTACATTTAAATATCCTTGCTTTATGTAATTTGTTTTGATTTTAGACTCCGTTTGTTTCGATGTAAAATATTTTTTTTGGAAAATATTTTTCTTTTTCAAATAAAATATTTTTTTATTTTTACTTTGTCGGTATTTGGCAAAGGTCTACATCGAGGTGGATGTCGAGTCTATTCGGCGGGGCATGTAAAATAACTTACCTAAAATTAATAGATAAGTTATTTTTGTTAAATTTTAATATTTTTTTTCTTCGTAAATATTTTACGACAACCAAACACCAGAAAATAAAAAAATATTTTCTGAAAAATATTTTACGTCCAAACAAACGACGCTTAGTTCCTTTCTTAAATTTAAGAAATTTAATTTGTCTCATGAATAAGGGTATGAGTAAAAACTATAGAAGTTTGTTAAATTTTTTTTTCTTCCTAGTTGGTATATACTCATGCACACATGTCACCATTGAGGCTTGAACCCTTAACTTCTCTTTGGAAAGTGAAGACCCGTTAAGCCACCAACCCGTTGGTAAGTTTGTTAATTTTATTCAAGAGAGTACATTAATGAAGAAGATCAAATATATAAACCACAATTTCTTTTTTTTTCGGTAAATAAGTGAGAATATAATAATAATAAAAAAACTAATTACATGTATATACAATGGGTATCCCCCCAGGAAGCATTATGGGCCATTTACCCATAAGCAAAAACCTCAAAGAAACAAACCAAATCAAAACAAAGAAAACGAAGCCCACAAACTGGACTCAATCCATATTGTCCAAGAAGAGATGGCCCAATATGGATGGATCCCAAAATCACATAGCCAGCCACAAACATAGGCGAGAATCATCAACAAGTTTAAGAAACGTCTCTGCAAATGGTAACGGTTGGCTATGGTGGGTGCAGAAGTGGTGCTGCTGATGGTTGTGGGAAGGTAAAGAAGGGGTTATTGTGGGTCAGTTCATACAAGGAGCTAGGCAAACACCATGTCTAAGCAATTTCCTCCGCATAGGGGCATGAGCACTTTTTGACGGAGAACAATTTGAATCTCACTGAGTTGATGATTGCATTGAAGGTCTGAGATGGAGGCAAGCTTTTGTTGTGGAAGAGCCTATTGTTGCGTTCTCTCCATATATGGTAAACAAAACTTGCCAGCTTGAGCTTCCAAGTAAGTATCTTACTGAACTTTGATTTTTGTTTCCAATTCAAGGATGCCCAGATTAGGAATCCTTGCCATGAATTAGGGTTTGACGAGAACCCACATTTGTGTTGTAATCTTCCCCAAATTGATTTCGAGTATGGGCATTGATGGAATAAGTGTTTATGAGTTTGCATCATTTAGGCACAAGGCGTGTAACGTTAATACCACAAATTTGGACAAATGAAAAGTTAACATGTGGCGAGTTTCAAGGAACTTGTGTAATACCCTTAATTTTTATGGTATTTATTTAATTATTTTAATTACATTTTAATTGATTATTTTGCTATGTGTTATGTGCTTAAATGTTTTGATTTATTTATTTGAATTATTTATGTGCATTTGTTTATGTGAATTGATTTTGTTTGTAATTGTTTAAATTAAATGTTTAGTAGTCTTATTTTATTTTTATTTTAAGTATGGGTTGGGCTTGTTGTAGCTAGACCAACTAGGTGGGTCTTGGGCTACTTAGAAGGAGGCCATGATGATGTGGGCTATAATATATATATATTCTTAATTGGGACTTACACACACATACCTCTACTGAGGCTCGAATCCCTAATTTCTCTATAGAAAGTAGGAGCCTAGTACCGCTAGGCCACTTTCCTATTGGTATAATATATATATATATATATATATATACATATGTATATTGCTATTATTATTATTATTATTATTGTATTTTCCTTTTGTCAGATGTGTAGTAGGATTATGGTTAAATTATATATGTAACATATATATATATATATATATAGCTTGAGAAATAGAGACAGATCGTGAGAGAGAAAGAGAGAAAGAGAGAGGGGCGGCTAGAGGAAGAAGAGGCACAATGAAGGGCTCTTCGTGGGAGAACCACCAGTAGGAGAAGACGACGGCAACTTGAAGGCTGCCGGCGTTAGAGAAGAAGAACAAAGAAGAAGGAGTTTGGTTTTTGATCCAAAAACTTAAGGCAAGTTCTTCGTTCTACACTTCTCCCTTTGATCTTGTGTTCTATAAATCCTTAGTATGACTTTAGAGATATAGATCAGAAAGAATTAATCTGATAGCATATTTAAATCGGACTAAAACGGAGGTATATATATGTGTATATGTATATGTGTATGCTTTTTATGAAATTGCTAAATCATAATTCAAATCTCTGTTTTAGTGAAACAAATTGTGTATACTTGCACTATAATAATACGGGACATCAATTGGAACATAGATGCATGGCTTAGGACTCGAAAATTTGGATTTTTGGACTTAGAATAGATCTCCCGAGTTGTTTCCACGAAACAACGCTCGAGCCCTGTTTTATGGGAAACAACGCTCGAGCCTAGTGATGGCGTGTTCAAGTGCTGATGAGTGATTTTGGCCGGAACATGTTTCGTTTGGACCAGAACTGATTTATTAAGGTTCCGAACATATTATTAAGACTCGGGAACAGTAGTAGGTGGATTTAATAGCATGAATCTTAAGCATGCATGCTAACACGGGATTTATTCATTTATTAATTTGTAAATTGAATAATTTAAATTGCTTAAACATTGGAGTTTAAATATTTAGCATGGGATATGACTTTAATTATGTGAATTGCTGGAATTGTAATTATCGGAATGGTTCATGACTGGATTTATGGTTATCGTGGTTGATAGAGAGGACTTTAATAATTTATAAGTTATTCCTGTAATTGAATAATGTTGAATTTGCTAAAATAATTTGCAATATTAGATAATGTGATTTTAATCATGTTCATGGCTATTTTGTATGATCAAATATATGATTTATTATGTGGAACTATTGTCAGGATATGGTTTTACTATTGTATTGATATAGATGGATCGGTTACCAAGTTGGATCCCTGTTTATTTATGCCATTGTTAGGATATGGTTATGATGTTTTATTGTGCCATTGTCAGGATATGGTTACAATATATTATATGTGCCCATGCCATTGTCAAGATATGATTACGATAGTTTTACGTGGTTGTGCCATTGTTAGGATGTGGCTAGATAGATATTGATACTATTGATGTACCATGATACGAGCTTGAGGTCTCGTGATTAGTGGCTAGGATTGAGACGTATATTGTCGGTTGAGATGTGTTGCTGGATATAGCGATGTGTGTGCTCTATTAAAAGGAGGACTCATGACCACTTTGTGTGCACTTTGCATGAGATACTCACTTTCCGGTTGAGTCTGCCCTTAGTCCAGTGAGAGTCTTTAGTGTCTATATATATATCTATCAACTATGTAGATATTGCACGAGTTAGCTAGGGATGTATTGTTCATCATGTCTCTATTTGGGTTGTTGTGGAAAGGACTTGTTCGTGGGTTTTGACCCACCTCTGTTATATTTCTTAAGTCCTTGTTAGTAGTAGGCTTAGAGCTTGTTCGTGCAGAGCAGAGACCACTTTTCATCACTCTTCCGGTGTCATCGACGTATAATTCTACTTCATATTTTTATTATTCAGTCTTAGACATTTATTTTATTTCAGTTATGGGATTCTTATTAGGGTTCCATGATACGGATTCCCGAGTTGTATTATGGAGGATTCTTTACATTTGGGAATTATTGGATTTATTAAAAAGGATTATTTATTTATTATTTAGTTTTC